GAGGGGCACGTAGAGGTCAGGAGACAACTTTCAGACATAGTTCTCTTCTTCTACCCTGTGCATCTCAGGCTTCAGACTGGGCAAGTGCCTTTATCAAAGCGCCACCTCCTACCAGCCCGTGTGTAGCATGAAGATGTTGAAAACCTGATATAAGATATATTTGATCTCACTGGCAAGATTTATTACATAGATAATGAAGATGAGGGTAGTGTTTCTTTTCTTTGTATCTTAATGCCCCCCATATCATTTTCCTTTGGCCTTAAATATTTCTAGCATTTCTGGTAAAGTAGATCTGCTGTCATTGAATTTTTAGTTTTTCTTATCTGACAATGTGTTTGTCTTTATGGGACAGACACAGTGACAAGTGGTTAGGATTTGACTCTCCCATGACCATCTGGCCTAACCCTGTGCCAGGCACGGGTTCCATCGACAGGCTATCACAGACACTGTGGAATGTGTTCATCTACTCGAGTATGTGACTGTTGGATACTGCTGTGATCCCCTCTCCGCCTGCACATCTTGGTGGTTGTCTTGCAGTTCCCTAGAACCCTAGCCACATCTTCCAGTTTTGTGTTTGCTTCTCCTGGAGTGTATTGAACCTTGTGACTAGTCCACTACTGGCCTGTCAGGTGTTTGGTTTGGTTCCAGATATTGTATGTTCAAGTTGCAATGTTTCTAAGAATTCCTGCCTTTGCATTCAAGTATGTTTTTTCTTTATAAACAAGCTTCATGGCAGCCATTTTTTTTGTCTGTTTCTAGTTATTATAGGATCGGCATTTGTTGGTTGTATTCCCCTTTACTTCTAGAATCTAGAAGTGGTCACTTGACCCTGGGTAGGGTGCTGTTGAATGAACCTAAAGTCCTTCATAGCTTGCTACGTTTTTACATGCCACCAAATGAACTACAACCTACCCACACCTGAAAGTGTTGGTACATACCTTTAATCCCAGCACTCTGGAGGCAGAGACAGGTAGATCTCTGAGTTCAAGATCAGCTTGGTCTACACAGAGAAATCCTGTCTCTAAAAGCTGGGGAAAAGAAAAAGAAAATTTTTGGCCATAAAGCAATCTGAATTGTAGTCTTGATACTGTGAGTGTATAGCTTCAAAGGCCCTGACATAGCATGCTGCAGAAGAAAATTATTAGTTTAGTACAGACTAAAACTCCCCCATTGGTTGCTGTTAAGGCAGTTGGGTCCATTAGCCTTAGTTTATCACACAACGCAGTAACTTGGGCCTTCAGTTGAGGTATGCGTGCTCACACATGGATCAGGCGAGCCTCTCCTCCTTAGTTTAAGTAATGTGTGGGTATATCATACAACGCAGTCACTTGGGCCTTCAGCTGAGGCATGCGTGCTCACACATGGATCAGGCGAGCCTCTCCTCCTTAGTTTACTCGTAGGTACCACTTTGTCAGGGTTCTCTAGGTAGAAAGACAGCTTCTGTTTGAATTTTCACCACTAGTTCAGGCGCCTACTCTGTGCCTGTTTTGGGAGAAGCTGCAAATGAACTAAAGAACAACAGAAGGGAGAGGAAACTCCTGTGTTGCCTTTCCAAGTTTCTGTCTCACTCTGGAATCCATAGGCATGAACTCTGAAAAGTGGTTGTGTGGCTCACCTGGAGGCTTCCGCTCTAACCAGCAGGCGTATGCACTAGGGGCTTGCTACAGTGGTAGAACCAGAGCTACACTGTGTGTTTTGAAGACTGGCTGGATCCAGAATTTAAAATCTGTGCTGTCTGTCCTCTTCAAAAAAAAAAAAAACAAGCAGTTTTAAAAAACAAAAGCATTAAGATTAGAAGTAGACCCACTGAGTTAAACATAGCCACAGCCTTCCTTTCAGAAGTCTCCAACAGATCATCTCCCTGTTACTAACAGCAGATTTATTCTGATGACTGTTAGGAAGGAAATAGAAAAAATGTCCTCCTCATCCCCAGAGGAGGGGAGTCATAAAATGGAATGCAGTGTGGCCTGGCTCGATCCTGGTTAGCGGAGCACTGGTCCCTTTCTGGGTCCCACTTTGTATGCAGTGTCACAGTACATCTGGGAAGCATGCAGGAACCGTGTACCACAGTGTCACTGCCAAAACCATGTGAACCAGGTCTGCACCCACGTGAGACTCCTTCAGTAATTCCAGAGAATGCCAAACCGTGTGAAAGCGTGTGAGCATCATTGATGAGACCTCTGCAAGCGTCTGTTACAGTCTCACGGTCGTGTGCCCAGGCGCTGCCCCTTCTCAGTGGTGATCATGGCATACTCTGATATCGACTTGTTCTGCAAAATGATTTCCATTCATTGTTCCCGGCCTCTTGTCACAATCTTTTTAACAGTAACGCTACTAACCCGTAAACAAGGAAAATAACAGCAGTAGCTAATTGAAAGCTGATGCTGTGTCTACTCTATGCTACAACTTTAGAAGCATTTCCCTCCTAATCCTGCCCACTTACATTTGTTAGGTAAGGAAAACATAGTTAAGTATGCCAAGGCCACACAAATAGGTAATGGAGCTGGGATGTATTATGGCCAAGCATGGGTAAGACCTAGAGTTCCCACCACAACAAGGGTAGCAGCATCCTACAGAAGTTAATTATAAACCAGCCATTCACTGTCACTCACTTTGGCAGTGAACTCCCCCAGTGGGAGTGCATGGTGAGCTGCCACGTTTCAAAGCTGGGCAGAGAGTCAGATTCAGTTTTTAACTTGGGCTTCCTCCATGGTTCTCCATTGTGAGTCTCGATCCAATGAATAAAATTAGTCCCAGCAAATCAGCAAAGCAAAGCACTTCATGCTTCCTTGTGAATGGCTGCACAGACAACCAGCCAAGTTCCCTACTAAAACGGGAAATATTACTTCTGTGATCATAAGTGTGTTCAGTAATTGTAAGGTTCATTGACTACTGTTAGGAAACAGCATCATCAGTGGGATGTTGGTGTGTCTGTTGCTGAAGATACAAGACAGACTTACCTGGCATGATAGTGTATGCCTGCAACCACTGCCCTTGAGACGCTGGAACAGAGTTCAAAGCCAGCCAGGGCCCAGTGAGACCTCATTTCAAAAAAAAAATCTTTAAATATGACTCAAGGCTTCTAAAAATGTATCCTTATGTATGTGTTCCAAAAATCAAAATGTAAGAACCAGATGAAAAACCAGAATGGATGCCTTCAGCCATGTGTGTGAGTGAGATGATGTCCATTCATGAACTGTTTTTGAGCACTCGCTATGTACCACATACATGTCTGAACACGAGGAGTCAGAATTGGGAATGCGAGAGGTGACAGGGTTCATGTATGTCACCTTTCCCGCCATCATATCCCCACAGCAGCCTCTGCCCTGGACGGGGAGGGCATCCCTCAGTGCCGAAGCCCTTCTGTTTACCTCTCCACAGAGAGCGTGCTCACAGAGGTCTCGGCTGCTGCTTCTCCGTCTGTGTCCTCCATAGCCTCCCCAGTCCGTGTTGGCAAATCCAGTGGCCCGCTCACAGCTGACCTAGTTTGTATTCGCCAGAGTAGCTGACTGAGCAGTATTCCTCCTTGAAATGCTGCCCTCCCTTAACAGAGATAGGGTTCCTTCTGCCTCTGTGCAGGCCCCTAGCCTTTCTTTGCCCCTTCCCTAGACCACAGTGTGTGTGTCATGGCGCCTCATCTTAGGATGCCACCTTTCGTCTCTCTACACTGGCAGTATGCATTCTTGAGTGCCATGCCTTCAAATGCCACCTCAAAGCCACAGCTGCCTCTTAGATCTATTTTGATATGCCAACTTTACTTACTGCTTATGTCCACGGAGACAGCTGATAGATCTCTCAAACTCAAGGTGTCTAGATCCAAGTTTACCCCTGTATCTACTGCTTATAACCACACGCACGCACACACAGAAAAGTTAAGAAATGAAAACCATATAGAACGCATCAAGTATGGCTGGCAGCTCCCCTAGGACTCAAAAGTAACCCTGGCTCCTGGTTTTCTGCTGTTTTGACGGGGTTGCCATGGTTCCTCTTTGTACAAGTCCTTCTCGTGTCCATGTTCAGGCTAGCAGAAGGGAGGGAGAGTGACAGTCCACCTCCTTGATTTCAAAGCAATTGCCGGGACACTGTAGATAATTCTTAGACTGCCATTTCATTGGCCTGCACTTAGAGCACAATCACACCCAGCTGCAGGGAAGCCTCATGTTTTAAACCATATGAGAAAACATTCAGCTAAATGTCAGGTTCTTGTACTAAAGTGGAAGGAAGGGATGTTAAGAGGAAATGGTCTCTGGTCCACGCCAGTCCTTTAGGCCACGCCTAACCGAGCTGCCCTCTGTGAGCCTATCCCTTTACACACGTTTATATCCATGTACCGCAAATCCTGTCATATGGTGGTGCTCGCACTCACGACCTTCTTTATATATAGGTCTTACTCCATGTCCTCCTCACTAGCCTTGGGGGAGGGACTTCTCTCTGTTAGCTGCGATCCAGAGCAGAGTGGAGCAGTGAGGGAGACGGCCAAGTCACCCTGGAGTTGTCTGTCCCAGGTGTGGGAAAAGAGTCAGCTCACTTCCTCGCCACCTCAACCTTTCCCTTCTGTGGGACACTCTAGAAATGGATGGGCTTTTACATGCCACACCGCACGTATTCGGCAGCACGTGAGACCACTTACTTTTGTGGACAATAGAGAACCACCCATTATCCCAGCAGCCCTTGGGCAGTGCTGCCCTGGGGAAGCTAGTCAGCAGAGAAACAGTGTCACAGTCTCAGCCTCTCTCCTCCGTGACTTTCTCTTTTAAGGGGAAACCTGATTTTCCATTTAAATGGAAATCTAGCTGGTGCGGTGAACTAGCTTGTGGCCTGTTCCATATGCAAATATGCTCCTGGGTGATTTTTACCTAGGACAGAATTGATGGGACTCTTGGAGAATCTCAAGCATTCTTAACCTCATTATAAATACACCGCAGGTGTGTAAGTCATAAACATGAAAGCCGCTTTCAACCTGTTTTAATGGGTGTTCTCTGTATCTCGTTACAACCCAGGGACCTGGCCGCAAGAAACTGCCTGGTAGGTGAAAATAATGTTCTGAAAATCAGTGATTTTGGAATGTCTCGGCAAGAAGACGGCGGAGTATATTCATCTTCTGGCTTAAAGCAGATCCCCATTAAGTGGACAGCACCGGAAGCTCTTAATTACGGTATGGTGGCTCTGGCTTTCCTTCTGGTAGTAAAGCTGGCCTGCATCAGCACAAATAGCTCACAGCATGGCTGGGGTGGAGCAGAATCCAGGCTGGGACTGCTTGAAGGAGCAACTCAAGCGAGTGTAAATGTTCCTACCTTGCTCTTAGTCACATGTTCATACACGTTCATACATGTGAGGTTGCTAGGTTAAAAGAGTCAATGAACATGGCTAGATGCCTGAGATTCCCCTAGTGTTGAGAAAATGATCGCCTTCAAGTATGCCTCTTACTCCTACATCTCGATTGTTCAGCATCTGACAGAAGAGAGCGATTTCCTCTTTGTCCCTGCTTATATTCTGAGTCTGCCCAGCTACGTCACTTCCTGGGGCCACATGACGACTCCTCTGCCTACACGTCCCAGAATCCTCCTCATATCTTAGCCCCACCTATCTTGCTGTCCTATTGGTCAACAGTGTTTTATTCATCAACCAATAAGATAAACATATGTGCAGAAGAACGTCCCCATCAGAGGTCAGGGAGATAAAAAGGACCCTCTTGAAGCTTTGGCTTGGGTCTGTTGGATGAAACTGTCATTAGCGTTACTTAAAGGGTTTTTTTTTAAGAATCAGACAATGGTAAAGGGCCCCTCACCCGCCTCCAGAAGTATAATCTTCCTTTCTAGGGCCAGATATTCTTTCTGCGTTCTGGTCTTGTTCTCAGACACATGTATGTGGGACAGTCTAGCTTGGTTACTTTCTCGTTGCTCTGGTAAGATACCCTGACAACAACTGATAGGAGAAGGAGTTCATGTCTGACTTGGGTTTCTAGAGGGACATCGTCTGTCATGCAGGGAAGACGTGGCAGCAGGTGCCTGACTCGTCACATCACATCAGGAAACATCGAACAGGAAGTAGGGCCAGACTACAAACATCAACAGCTGTCCGCAGTGGCTCACCCGCTCCAGCAAGGCCTCATTGCCTTTCCAAACGGCTCCGCCACTTAGGGACTACTTGACCACACGTGAGCCTTTAGGGGACCTCTCACATTTAAACCGTAACACTCCCCAGCAGTTAAGTGGCAGCATACTCAGACTGTATCCCTTCAGCCCTCAGTCCAGTTTTCAACAGAAGTACTAGATTTATAGAAAATAAGTGGTACACTGATCTTCAATTAAGAAAGTCACCTATTTACCAGTTATTGGCAAAACTTTCATAAGGGAGAGGGAGAGAAAGAGCACACCAACTGGTTGTCTAGTGTGAAACGGTCAACCCTGAAAATATACATGCCAGTAACATAATACTATAGTAACAGGTACATGCTTAGGAATGTATGTATATACATGCACATGCATGCAGTAACAATTGGTGAACAAGAGGCCATGAGTCTGACTGATGGGGAGTGGGAACGGGCATATGGGAGGGTTTGATGCTGTAATTATAATCTGAAAACTTATGTAAATGGTAAAACCATTTGCCACCTGATTGTTTGGGGATGGTGTCAGAGCTCACACTGTAACTGAGCAGAAACTCCTCCATGTGATATAACTCCCGAGACTCAGGAATGAGAGGGACAAAGCATTTTCTGCTTAGTCATGTTGTCAGTGACAGGACCTGAACAAGATGTCTCCTGCTCTGTGGTCATGCATATTGTAGTGCCTCTCCTCCAGACAGGCCCTGTCAGGGTCAGCTCAGCAAACGAGCAGCAAAACGCTGCCCTGACCTACTCGACCTACTCTGTGGTGTTGAAATGACCAGAGGCCAGGCAGGTTCCTTCCATGGGCTTCCTGCAGTGTGGTCTGGTTGCCTAGGGGCTGTCTTTCTTGGTCCCTACCAGACTGGACTTACAGGGTAAGATATGTGTCTACAGAACTTACCTTCATTACACACTACCTTCATCTTTAGCCACGGAATCAGTGTCATCAAAAGACCTGACTTGTCGAGAAGAAAAGTAATTTTCCTATCCAAAAGCCCAGGGAATGTCCATGGTAAGGGGGACGCTAGTTCCCACAGTTGGAGCTCATGAGCAGCGAGTGCTCCACACAGAGGGAGCCATCCAAGCACAGGCCGACTCTCTGGTCATTGTATTTTAGAGGAGCATTTATAGGTCCCAGGGTAGCAGATGGTTAGAGAAAGCTATGATTCAAGAGACCTGCAAGCTGCCAGTGGTGACACATGCCTGTAATCCCAGCACTGGAGAGGGAGAGCTAGGAGATCAGGACTTGAAGGCCAGTCTAAGCTATATGCCAAGCCTAGGCTACGTGTGACCTTGTCTGGAAAAAAAAAAAGAGAGAGAGAGAGAAAGCCTCAGCATTGCAGCTGCAGTGTGGCCTGCTCTGCTGCACAAGTCTCACAAGAGCATATTTTCCTGGAGACCTGTTTCTGCTGCCCCTTCCTGACACACAGCAGTCACCAGAAGGCTTTTTTTTTTTTTTTTTGGTTTTACGAGACAGGGTTTCTCTGTATTGTTTTAGATGCTGTCAGTCCAGCCCTTCCTTGAACTCACAGAGATCCGCCTGCCTCTGCCTCCTGAGTGCTGGGATTAAAGGCATGCGCCACCACTGCCCGGCACCAGAAGGCATCTTTAGTAGGATTTTATCTCTGGACTTCCCACTGAAGGCTACTTAAAAAATAATCTGTGAGTTTGCTCATGTAGCTCAGTAAAACAGGTGCACAGAGATAGTTTGACAAAACAAGGCACCATGTAATTTGAAGTTGTTTTTATCAGCCAGCTATGTTAATTTCCACTCCATTCAAAACAAACCACATAGAGAACTGCATTTTCTGCAAATGCAACTATCAGTGGAGAAAATGAGACCTTTAAGCATGCAAGAATATCTGTAAACAGTGATGAGTAAAAAAAAAAAACCTGAAGTTAAGAAACTTTCCAGTAAAATTACAAACTTAAAGCAATAAGGAAAGAAAATGATGCAGGCAGAAGACCAACTTATTTAATCTCCTAGGCACTGATGTGTGCAAATTCATATTTTTATATATAAACCAACCGTCTCATTCATATGCCACAGAGGGAGGTAAGCCTGTCTGCATGCTGGCTGAATTTTTGTTAACACTACTAGGCCTGGAATTCACACGGCACCAAGAATGTGATGTCCTTCCGGCATCCCTTTGGAGGCGGAACCGCGCTGGCGTGTGGCTGGCACTCACAGCCAGAGCCATTGTTCCATTGCCTCCCCTGGGTTATGACCGTTTCCTCCCTTCCAGGGAGGTACAGCTCTGAAAGTGACGTGTGGAGCTTCGGCATCCTCCTCTGGGAGACCTTCAGCCTAGGCGTCTGCCCGTACCCAGGGATGACGAACCAGCAGGCGCGGGAGCAGGTGGAAAGAGGTGAGTCGGGGCCTGGGTGTGTCGTGCACCGGATTTGGGAGGGAAAACATCAGAGGAGTCTGTTTCCGAATGCCATGGATGCCCTGGCTCCCACGGAGCAGAGACCAACGCTCGCAAGCCTGTCCAACCCATGGCCCATAGGTGACACGCAGCCACGCATATCTGTGGACGTGGCCAACACAAATGTGAGCTCCCCTAAAGCCTTCTTTCCTTTTGCGGTTTGTCTTGTAACTTAGTTGCACAGTCCTCTGTGTGAGCTGTGTACATAGCAGCCCTGCTGTGTCCTAGTGCGTGGTTCCATCTGCAGAGGCCTGGCGCTTTATCCTGCCCACTGAAAGGAGGCAAACCGCCTTAGTGTAGTATTGTGTTCCACACCAGATAAGTCCCTGCAGTACTCCACGATGCGCTGCCCCGAGTTTCCAGAAGGAATCCAGAGAAATTGTAATGTGAACAAGCGCCGCTGTGGTACTTCCGATAGACAGGAGGGACTAGGTGGCAGTAACACTCTGCGCATGCCTTGGGTGTAGCCCAGGTGTGGGGGTGGCCTGCCTTCCGTCCTCCCCCACACGCGCAGCAGCCCGCTGTTGAATGAGCACATAAAGCCCCATCTCCAGACTCTCCCCGTCTGATCATTCGGGACGCTAACCCTCAGAATACTCAAATATGCATTCGTCTGTGCTGCAGCTCACTGCTGGCAAACACATGGCTCTATAATGGTGTGTGCTCTGTGTCATGTGCCAGAGGGGACACTGACAGCGATCGTTAACGTCTACCCCACTTACAGCATGAGGCACTAACATTTGCAAGCAGTGCAATGTCCTGCATAAGCGTTTCTATCTTAGGACCCTTCTGAGTTCTCTCCTCTTGAATCTTTAGGATACCGGATGTCAGCCCCACAGAACTGTCCAGAAGAGATTTCTAAAATCATGATGAAGTGCTGGGATTACAAGCCTGAGAACCGCCCCAGGTTCAGCGACCTTCACAAAGAGCTCACTGCCATCAAGAAGAAAATCACATAGTGCCAGCCAGGGCTAGACTCTACCTGTAGGACCCGCCCTCAGCCATCCAACCCTATACCACCTACTGCAGCCATCTTGGAAGGTTATGTTTTTTTTAATTAACTGGGTTTTTTAAAGTCTGTTCCACTTTTAAAGTATGTTAAAGGCAAATTTATTCAAGAAATAAACAGTCCTACCCATGGCCGTATTAGCTAACCACAGAGTCCTACCGTTTGAGACCTCTATAAAGAGAAAACACGGGCCTGGCTGAGAAGATGAAGGTCTGTGTGTTCATGCCTAGGACCACTGACCCCCTTCAGTTGGTGCTGTGAACAGCGTTGGTAGCGCATGCTTGCAGGACGCCTTCCCACCACAGGTGGCTTTCTGCTCTGCCAAGGCGAGATTGGATCTATAAATATAATCATATATTGGGAATTACGTGGACCTCCTAGGGTTTTTCTTTTCTTTCCTGTCAGAACAAGCCCGGTGAGAACATCACACCCTTGTGATATTTTGTCTTTTACCTCCTCAGTCCATGCTGCAGAAAACTCCCAGAGAGCACTCGGTATGGAGGCAGCTGCTTCTGCAGGAGACTGCATGTGTGACCAGGAGGGCAGGCTGGGAAAACAGCAGCTAGCCAGTGCTCATCCGGGAGAAGAACACACAACAGGCTGCTTCCTACCAGACGTGCACCTCTCTCATACGCTCCGTCTGTAGTCTGAATTCCCTCAGCAGGTCTAAGAAATGCTCCTGGGGCTTGTAGAGCCCAGTGGACACTGAGAGATACTGAAGTCCACAGAAGGACAGCACGGTTCTGATCATGTCTTCATCCTAGGGGACACTCCCAGGATGGAATTCCCTGTATTGTACCAGATTCTGAGCCTTCAGAACTCATTATTCATTCACAAGCATCCCCACACCTACTGGCGTGCACAGTCACTATGAATGAAATAGGCGCGCCCAAACTTCCGACTCTCCCCACCCCCACCCCTCCGCAAGGCGGTTCCCAGAAATCTTACTGATAACTCACAGGTATGCAAGCACACATACCGTTAAAGATATCTCTTGTGTGTCAAGTTAAAACTGGGATCTGGTTGAACTGAACCTTAGCTGTGTCCAGGGAACTCCCCCGTGATCTAGCCACAGTGGTCTCAGGATTAGTGTGTCTGGGGGAAGATATGGCCCGGAAGTCTTCACTAGTCCTCAGGCCTATGTCAGGATTACTCGGTCTGTGTTGAAGAGCTGGTAAGATGGCAGGTCCCTCCCCTCCCTTCCGGGCAGTGTAGAGCAGACTCTAAAAGGAGGCTGCTGAAGAGAAGAGTGACAAGCATCCGTCATTCCAGTCACCGTACTCATTCTGTACACGTCAGGGCCATACATGCAGACTAGAGGAGAGGCCGCGTGAGCCTGTCCACAACAGCACTCTGCCCCACCATCAGCACAGACTCTGCAACTCAAGTTCGCTGCCATGCTCGCCAGGCATCTGCCAGCCCTCAGGAGATGAGACGATCTCTTTCAGGATTTCCAGGCGAATCTGTCTACAACACAGTTCTTGTCTATGAAGAAGCAAGAGCAGCCTCTCAGCACTACACTCTCGGCCAGGGAGAGGAGACTGGCCTGGCTCCAACTCTGTGAACAAGACCCAAAGCTTAATCCTCGCATTCTGCCGTAAAGAGAACATGGCATTGATAATTTCACTCATCTAGGCTGTTGGGATTTGCAATTCACATCATAACTCTTTGCTTAAATTAAAAAAGCTTTTCAAAACATCGTGACATCTGCAGCATTTAAATTCTATTTTATTCTTTGTCCCAGAGCAGGCAGAGGTAGAGTTTAAGATTAACTCATTGGGAGCCTCTCAGGATCGTGCCATTCTTACAGAATATTAAATTTAACATAGGCGCATGCATTACGAAAAGCTTATGCAAAACATTCTTACTGTTAATTTTGTTATGCTTGAAGCATAATTTATTCATCCCTTCTGTCACTGATAATTATTGGAATTATGTACTTCTGGAGGCTAATCCATTCCCAAAAAGTGCACTTATAAATACGGTTCTGATTTGCAAGTTGATTTAGGGAAGAGAGGCTGCGGAAATGCACAAAATTCTATGATTCGTTTCGTTAAAGAGCAGTAAACAGTGGTACCCCAAATTATCAGTGCTGTGAGCCAGGTCACAAATCTGCATTTTACTAATGGATTATCCAAGAGGTGCTTGTGCTCAGCATTCCAGCAATCCAGCCACCCGGGCATGAAGAGGGAGAAGGCTGGAAACCCTGAGCAGTCTGACTTTCCATCTGCATTTCTCTAACTTGAATCTCAGGAAACCTTCATGAGAAATGGGCAGTCCACTGTTTTTCAAAGAAAGCAAACTTTACTGGCAAATGGGCGCCCTTGTGTATCCCGTGGGACCTAAGCTGTCTTCTCAAAGCCATTTCCTTAGGAAAACCGTAAGTGACTGTGAGACTTCACTTCAGCCCCACCTGCCACAAGGGCCACAGGGAGATGCCCCACGCGAGTCTTCCTCCTCTGTGCACGACAGAAGGGACAGTAGAGTGAATGCCCCAGTCACAGCCGGCAACGCTCTCGGGCATCCATACAGCCTGGAGCCATTCAGTGGCTGTGGTCTCCACTGCAGGGTTTTCTATGCCTGAGATCGTGTCTGTTCCTTTTAGCCCTATTTCTGTCAGCTAGCTTCACTGACGACATTCTGCAGCGCTGGTGCCAAGACTGTCGATAAGCAAGCATTTTAGTTGTAATATGTGCTGCACGCCGGCCACAGCGGCGCAGAGCTGTGTGGTGTGTCGTGGTCAGAGGCGTCTCAGTGGCTGTACAAGTGTACCCGAACGTCATCGTGACATGCTGTGTGCCCTTGAAGCAAGAGTGACGTCTACAAGGGGGCTGTCTGCCCGAGCCCTCTGGCTTTCAGCACACACAGTTGACATTCTCCGTGTGTCTCGTCAGTAGATGTGATTGGCACGGGAAGACAGACTTTCCCATTTGGAGATCAGAGCCCTCATACAAAACAGCATCACAACTGAAAAAGTGGCAGAGACCCGTGTTCCTCACGTGTCGGTCTTTGATCTGCTGATTCAAAGATTAAATTCCGGACCAGCTGGATTCACTCTCCATCCTAACTGGTATGGGGATTCTTGAATGGTAGGAGAAAAACCCTGCTGTGACATGCTTCATCCCTTTACAGAGCCCAAGAGTAACGAGCAGGGGCACAGCGGGTCTGCCAATGAGCCACCTTGGCAGCACGCAGGAAGGCAAAACAGGCAAGAACCAGTTTCCTGGAGCAGGTGGAGAGAGTGGACAAGACCGACAGTGCTGCCTGGAAACTGCCAGGTGCCAAACCCTTCCCTCAAACTCGAGAAGATCATCAGCCCCAAAGCTGCAAAAGAGCCCGGGCCAGGGCCAGGGCCCTCCCTGCAGCAGGAGCCACACGGCCCCACCCAGAGCTGACACTGCCAGCTGAAGTTCCACTCACTGCCTTCCCGCCCAGCAAACTTGGTCCCCTGTGCCCAGTCGCGGATGAGAGTAGCCAAAGCCGCCTTACATTTGCACTAGTTATCAACGCTTGATTGTTCACATCCCATTGAAAAGCCTTTAATGCAGCAGAGGCTAACCTGGGCTAAGGTTTCTAAAGTGAGAACCTGCTTGCATCATCTGTGACACCTTTGACCACTAGTAAGTAGATGGTTCCTGGAGTTCCCGGCTGAGGGGTCCTACTGTGCCACACTCTGAAGGGAGACAGTAGCAGGGGAGTTGGAAAAGCAGCCATGTTTCAAGCAGAGCACAGTGTAGCAGCGGGGGTAAGGCGGTAGGCATCCAGCAAAGGATTCTGGGAGGGCAGGACAGTGAGAGCATCAGTGAGACCCTCGGAAAAGCCCACAGCCAGGGCAGCACGGAGCCCGCCTCCTACTGGACAGTAGCAAACATAACACCTCCTCAGCTTCTGCTAGTTTCCCCGTTGTGTCGGGAAGTCACTGCTTTCTCTGCAAGGCTACAGAGCTGGCGGTTGAGCCCATTTCCCAAGCACAGGGAAACAGTTACAGTGCACCTTGGTGTAGACTCTACAGGAAACTGTCGGCACGTCTCTGAGTTTCACTTTACTAATGGAAAACTGTAATGTGGCAGGTTTAGCTTCCTTATTAGCAAACTTGTAACAACCCCGAGGCAAGAATACCTACCGAAGTCTCTTCTTGAACATGGGAACTGTGTGCCCAAACATCTGTTAAGCCAGTAAGGATAAGGGGGCCCGGAGTGCTGGGTGACAGTAACAGACCTACTGCAGAGCGTTTTGTAAAGGGAAGCCTTCCCGCCAGCCTGGTTCCAGAACCGCATCAGTCCCAAATAAACACACAGGAGACTATATTAATTATGAAGCTGTTAGCCTTGCTTGTTTCTTACTGGCTAGCTCTGACTTAAGTAATTACCCCATAATTGTTAATCTAAGTATGTCTCTTACCAGAGAAGTTTCCGGGCTTCCTACCCCATGGCGTTATATCTCGACTCTCTATGTTTCTCCTTCCCAGAGTCCTCCTGGACTCCTAGTCCCACCTATCTTGGTTCCCTATTGGCCAACAGTGCTTTATTGACATATACACAGGACTTCCCCATCAGCGTTTCCCCTCTGGCCTGCCATATCAGGGCCAGCAAAGCTAAGAAGTCAGCTTCCAGGACTCGGTCTTCACTGCTGGCTACATCCTTTCTCATCTTCAGCTTTGCAATGTTTTCTCTTTGCCAAAACAAAACCCTAAATTGTTGACCCACACACCCAGCAGTCTGTGCTCAGGGCTTCCCTGCCTTTCAGGGAATGTGCAGACCTATTCTGAGAAGTCGGGCACACTATAAGCTTTGAGTGAAGGCGACCTATAGAGGTGGCATGCTTAGTGGGGGTAGGTATGCTGTGTGAGCCCCCTTATCAGCAAGACTTGGGGACTTTTTCCTAAGGACATTAAGACCACTGTGAGTGGGCGTGTCCAGGTTGAAGGCTTCCCTATTGTCTTGGGCTACGTAAGCTGACCTCAAAGAAATAGTGCAACAGAATACAGTAAAGCCCTGGACATACACGACTCCAGACTAATACATTTTGTGCTCTCTATAACCTTCTTAAGAGCAATATCTAAGTTACCCAAGTTACATCATCTTAATTCTCTTCCAAAGTTTCAAGAAAGAGGGCACTATGAGAGTTCAAAGTCAGCCAGTCTGCTGGGTTTTTTAATAGATACCCCCAGAACATTATCTAAAGACATTAGCTCTCCTCATAGTTTTCCAGAGCACCTCCCTCTGTGGAAACCCAGGCACTACTACTTTCCCTGTTTGTCGGGACTTTCTGTAGCATCGGATAAGTAGGCTGTACATGCCACCCTGCAGATTCTAGACTGGGCTAGTAGGAAACCAGGTGTCCTCCAGTAACCACCAGGGCAAACAACAGAACCCGCAAGGGACACACCACCTGTGCACGCAGTGAGAACCTAAGCATGAAGAGAGAAGTTGCACATGAACCCAAACTCCGGTGCCTGTTTTCCTCATAGAGTACCCAACAAATCACTCGGAGGTGTTCGAGTTGCCTGACAACTGTTACATAACAAAAAGCAATCCCCTGTCTTCCGTGAGGCCAGGTAGGTCTGAGTGCCCTGTATTCAAACCCTTAGGGGCTAAGAGGGACTCACTGTTATCATTAACTCCAAGTGTTAGCTTGCCATACCATACCATGCCTTTTCTTTTCTAAGGATCTTCCTCTTACAAAGAAGGTGGTGGGGAACACTTGCCAGCCAACTCCTAGGAAATGTCAGACTCGTTAGTGCACGCAAACACAGTGGAAGGAACCAAGCTTGATCCTCACCACAGGACAGCTGTGCTTAAATTATCCGTGGGGTGCTACAGAGCCCATCCCCTGCAGAAATCGGAGACCAGCACTAAGAAAGGCACAGTTCCAGCAGAAGAGTCTCCCGTCACTCCTTAGGTCCCAGGCCTCTCGCAGACAATGCAGCGTGGACACATCCCAAGGGAGCTGGCTGGTTTGTGTAGTGTCAATGTGAGGGTTTCCTCCAGCTTCAGCGGGTTACTTTCTATAGGTACACGTCACAATCTGAGCATCAACTGACACAGACACAAAATACCTCTTGTCAGCCGCAATTTCACCTCATGGGTACAATGTCTCTTCCCCAGCTTTATCTGTGACACAAGTCCTCCAAATGGACGTAGTTCTTGTGGGACACTTCCATCCTCCTCCTCCTCCAGAGACCGCCGAGACTGCCTGCTGAGTCCGCGCCTTTAGCAAACACCTATGGCTCCTGTTTAAATACCTACAGGTCTCATGTGTTACTCGTGTTTCAGTGGATAAATGGCTGAGCAGCTGAGGCCAGTGAGGGGGAATGGCGCTGCCCACTATGTTGACTTTGCATCATAGTTTGTGTCTGAGTCTTAGTCTGGTCTGGATGCTTTGGTGAGTGCTCTAGAATGCCAGAACTTTCCAAAAGCATAGTCATGCCGTCACATCAGGTCTAAAGATCCGTAGGCATACAAGAGAATGAACGTTAGCATCAGAGACCCACAAGACACTCTGACCTCTCCAGAAATCCAAGCAACTGAGACAAAAATCAAAATGCCCAATTGGTGTCCAGGCCATGTGACTACAGTGGACTGTCAGCCCCACCATTTTCCCGGCACAGGTGCACAGAGAGCAGGGACAGGAATATGATTTTCTGAGTTGGTTTCTCTGCTCGCTGCTTGGAGATGAACCCGAGGTTGAGGGATCAGGGCCACCCTCGGCCATCTGCTATCTAAGTGTCCCTTCTGCAAGCAGCATTGTGAGCCATGCACTCGCCTGGTTCAGAGAGTTTTCTTCGGTGCCAATGTATGGCCATTTTAATACCAGGTTAAAGCACCTTTAGTCTTTTGTTGTTATTTTAAAATAATATATTTGTGAAGCATATAAAAGAAACACTGGAAATAGGGCGCTTCTGAACATACCAAGTATAAACACGTTAAAGGTCCATGCTGGTTTTTCTGGCTTTGTAAACAATTCTGAAGATGGGTGACAGCTAAGTATATGAAGCAGTTAGTTGTCTACCTTTGGTCGTTTGTATCTCAGATCTGAATTTAACGTGTCTGTTAGATTTCACATCCAGAAGAAATACACCTTGAATTTTGGCTAACACTACCACATGTTCTGAAAGTTGCCTTCTACCCTTTATGACACACAACTTCATCATTTTTTGTAAAGTGGGCCTTCTTTTCTCTTGCCAGAGACCAATTACTATCCATTGGTCTGCAAAGCCTCTCTTTACTGTGTTCTTGTAATAATGTAAAATATTTACAGCAAACTGTGCCGTGTCTTGTTTGATCCTTCTGTCATGTTTACATTTCTCTTCCTCTACCACATAAATATGCTCAAAAAGGAAGAAAATGAAAGTGAGATTTCCATGGTAACCGGCCTCCTCTGGCTGCAACACTGCATGAGATTATTAGCTTTGGGTTTCTCTGTAATTAAGCACATAAGTCCTGATGATGATGGTTGTGCTGCTGTAGTCAGAGTCTCTTTCTGTTGAGAATTCAAGACTGACATGTAGTTCAAGTCCGAGTTTCCTATGTGCTTTGGGAATTTGCCAGTATTTTCTTCAATGTCTTTTGGGGAGTTTTGTTTCTCACAACATGATTTGTTTAGCTATAACATGAGAATTTAGGGGAGAAAGTGCCTGGGATTGATATTTGGAAACACGCTGACAGGGATGTGTCCATTGTGCTAGCTCTGGTGCAGGGCTCAGCTGGTCCCAGCCGGGGCTTGGCTTCTGCATGCCATCCCCAAACAGAATGCTGTTATTTACCTAGGTTTGGGGTGATTGCATATTTTCTCCATCACTTACTTTGTCTGCATTAAGCCAAGCCCTGTCTTTTCAAGTCCTGAGCTTGAATAAACAGTCACCCCTAAACTACCACTCTGTGTTCCCAGGGCCACTCACAGCTGACTTCCCAGGTGTCTTAGTTTGGGTTACTATTGACCACCAGGGTGAAACACCACGACCAAAAGGTAATTTGAGAGGAAAGGGTTTATGTGACTCCCACTTCCACATCGCTGTTCATCACTGAAGGAAGTCAGGACCCAAACTCAGAAACAGGGCAGGAGCCTGGAGGCAGGAGCTGATGCAGAGGCCATGGCTTGCTGAGCCTGCTGTCTTACAGTACCCAGGACAGCCACCCCAGGGATAGCCCCACCCGCAGTGAGCTGGCCCGTTCCACATCAGCCACTAATAAGAAAATGGCTACAGGCCTGCCTGTGGCCTGGTCTTATAGGTGCATTTTCTCAGTTGAGGTTTCTCCTCGCAGATGACGCTAACTTGTGTCAAGTTGGCATAAAGCCAGCCCACTGCTATGATGGGCACAGTACTCTCCTAGTCCTCTGCTCTTACAGCGTCCAGCATCCGCTGGGTGTTTCTGGATTGGCGAACACCTCCTGACAGCCCTCCTCTGTCTGGGTGGGCTGTAGCTTCTCACCCAGCAGATCTGTCTGAATCCTGGAAGACCCCTCCCTTTCTCAGCTTCTTTACTACTAAGAGCATCTGTCACCCAGGAAGCCTGGCTCCCTGCCTGCATCCCATTCCCCACGACAGAAGAGGAGTATCTCTGAAAATCCCTGGAGCGCTCATGGCACTTGAAGCCCTACACATCACCGTATTCCCCCTTGGGCTGGTGATTTCTTCAGGCGATCTTGCTTGTAGAAAATACAGAACTCCTTTCTATTAAAAGCCTCACTGAAACTATGTGACGTGTCTCTGTGGACCTCAGCAGGTATTTCCCCCGCCATCCCCGCCCACTTCCTAAAAGCATCCTCGTTCTTCTGGGAGAACTTCAGTAACTGGTGCAGTTCTGACCAGAAAGGAGTTCCTAGCACACTACAAAAGCCCAGAAACCCATGAGCGCTCTCGACAGAGCCAACGCCTTCTCCCGAGACTGAGTCCTAAGGGCAGGAAGAACAGCAGAGTGCATTCTTCAGGGCAGGATCCTTCCAGCAGAGTCGCTGTGACTCCTGCTCCTGAGCTCTCACGGCCCCGGACCTCTGCCATCCACAAGCCTTGTCTCTGGCTTCCATTGACTTCGGTGCCCACCCCTCTACATGGCCTCACCATGGCCGTCTGGCTGATTCCTTTCACCACAGTGAACAGTACTCCATTTCTCTTGCCTCCTGATGACACCGATCCCAAAGACCCTTCTAGCTTTGATATTCTGTGGTCTCTCAAGTCTACGGTCATGGGGGCGGGGGTGGTTCCTGAACTGTCACTGCTCTACAGAGTGAGTTCTAGTCCTTCACTTACTGCCATGCCAGCTTTCTGTCACTGTGACAACACGCTGGGGACATGCAACTCCAAAAGGGTTTATTGTG